ATTACTGCTGTAGTGTGAATTAAAAATAATTCTCCCAATGCTGTTTGTCTGTGCTTATTTATATAAGCCGAGGCCAAAGTGTGGACCAGCAGTCGCAAAGTAAATGTCAACAATGAAAGTTTCCACTGGTTTTACACACACACACACACACTCTCTCTTCCTGAAAAATGAATTGGTGTAGTAATGAAGTTATAAAGGATCAAATGATAATTTATTCAGTGTGAAGGTGAAAATATGAATGGCTTCATTTTAAATAAACTTAAGTTAGTCTATAAATTACAGAAGTGGATTCTGAAGGGCTCACATGAAGTGATATCTGGACCCCTGCAGGAGGCCACATCAACATGTGGTATTGCTAGAAGGTTTGCTGTGTTTTCTACCACAGAGTATGGAGCAGAATCCAGGAGACAAAGTTCATGTAACATCATTTTAAGCTTTACCAGTTCTGTGGTGTAGTTTTCCAGGAAGGCATTTCCACACACACACCTACAGGCTTGGCAACCGCACCCTGACTGCCTTTACTTATCAAGATGAAATCCTTAAACCTATTGTTACATTGGTGCAGTGGGTCCTGGGTTCCTTCATACTCTAAGCCTCCACACTCGCCTCACCTAAATCCAACTGAACACATCTGGCATATCATGTGTCATTTTCATTTCCCCTAAACAAGACCTTCCCAAAGTGTGCGGCCTCCTGGGCGGGGGGCGGAATGGGGCTAGCCTGGGGCTCCCACACAAACGCAAAGCAGGAGATGAAGCATCGCTGAATATGTTTCCAAACCAACTTCATTCTAAGCCAAAGACTAGAAAATCTGGTGAAGCAAATCTGCCCTTTGGCTTCACCTGCACAGGTGCGGAGGTAGGTCTCCCTGCAGGGTTGCTTTTCCCTGCGTGGGGAGCAGCGCTGGGCTGTTTACATCACGGACAAACAGGATCCCACAGCTGTTTATGTTTTTAAACCCATTTTGCACAGAGAAGCATTTTTTTAAAATGTATTGATCGCAGTGTTGAACATTATTACACAGGAAAAACAACTACATTAAAAAATAATGACACCGTGACGCCTCTGCCTTTGTAATGGAGGGACAGTAACTGCGTGTAAAACCTGCAGATAGAGACACAATACTGTTAATCTGACTGTCTGCTCTTCATCTCATGTAAACAATAACGTGGCGCACAGCGTGACGCGGAAAAAGGCACATACCTTTAACTTTGCCTGATGAGCTCTGTATTCCACGTCCACACATAAACGCAAAAAATGAGTTATAAAAAATCTCCGTTTTCGGTGATTCGAAACGCCGTTTACGTGGACGAAACAGCTGCGTGTTCAGAAACACCCGTGTAGGTGCGGACATAGTTTATTTTCGTACTACCTGCAGGTTACTTGTATTTGCTTAATTGTTTACTAAATGTTTGAGGTGTGAAATAAACCGCAACTGAGCAAAATATGGGCGCGTGTGGTTGGAGGGTGTGTTAGTGTGTGCGTGCGTGTGCGCGCGAACATTTTTCTATAAAACAAAGGGGGGCCCAGCGAAAAAAGTTTGGGAGCCACTGCTCTAAACAATGCGCCGTTCTTTGTTCCTAACTCATTAGGTACTTTTTTAAATAAATGATTATGAAATGGTAAATGGCCTGTATTTGTAAAGCGCTTTACACATCCAGTCATCCACCCATTAATACACTGGTGCTACACTGTAGCCACAGCCGCCCTGGGGCGCACTGACAGAGGCGAGGCTGCCGGACACTGGCGCCACCGGGCCCTCTGACCACCACCAGTAGGCATCAGGTGAAGTGTCTTGCCCGAGGACACAACGACCGAGACTGTCGGAGCCGGGGCTCGAACCGGCAACCTTCCGATTACAAGACAAACTGCCAACTCTTGAGCCACGATCGCCTTGATAAACACATCTGATTTGAAATGCCGTTCAGTTGTGAGCATAAAAGCTTCGTTATTTCAGTAACTGCTTGTAACCTCAGATGCTTCATGACTGCAGATGTTTAGTTTATTACATTTAGCATTTGGCAAACTGGTGTCAGAGATGTTACAAAGCTGAAAGCGGTCATGCTGACTTTAACATATTCCTTCAGAGTGAAAAGAAAGCAAAGATTAACTTGGTCATCCGCAGGAAGGATAATAAAACATGCGCTGTTTCTTAAACATGTAAGTGTAGTCATGTAAGTGTGCTGTGGAAATTCAGGGTGTTGTCACACTCAAGGAAGGGGTTGAATGTGGTCTGTAGATGACAGCGTGCTCCTGTCGAGATATAAAAATGAATCATCTTTGGAAACGTTGCTATTTACTTTGGAGGAGCACATGAGGGCCTGACTGTTTCAGTGTTTAGTGTCAACTTGTCCAGAGTGCCATTTGGAATATGTCTGGATTCTGCTGCTGTCTCATCAGTTACTCTTCAGGTGTGGAAAAACACCAAAAAAGCATAATCTGCAGATTTGATTGCATATTACAGTAGTAGTGTTCATTTAAGAAGATGTTTTGAAGCACAGTCGACTGAATGTAATGTTTGTGTATGTGTATATGCGGGGACCAAACATTGGAAAGTTGCTCTACTTGTGGGGACCAACAGTCACTTATGGGGACAAAATGCCCCATGAGTTTGAAGACAGGGTTAGGATAAGTGTAAGCAGCTAGGGAAAGCAATATGTCAATTAGATGTCCACACGAAGATATGAAAACACGACTGTGTGTGTCTGCTGAGCAAATAAAGAGGTTTCACCCCACAGTGAACATCCCAGTTTGGCTCCACACTCAGTAAGGGGCAGACGGCGAGTGTGAGGATGTACACACTCTGCCGTCGATGTGCAGAATGTAAAGACGTCCTCACTTTTTATTACTCAGAGTTCATGTTTGACTTCAGACATAGATGCTGGCGGAGGTTTGCCAAACAAGGTTGCCTCCGACTGGGACTGTGTACCAACCGTCTGCTCTTGGACAAGGTCTGCTGTACTCATACTAACATTCTGATGCCCTCCAGAAAAAGCACAAAAGTGACAGCGGTTTACAAAAACACATTTGTCAAATCACAACAGAATGTACGACTAAAATCTATCACCAGTGTGCAAAACTTACTGCGCTCCAGTATCACCCCCCGCCGTCCTGTCAGCGTCTCTCCTCCAGGAGAGAGAAAAAAGCTGTTCCACGTAATGTTCGCAGACAGTTATGAAGTGGAGACGAGGAGGAGCAGGGTGTGTCTGTATTTCACGGTACAACAATCGAGGCTCTTTATTAACACTGAGAGAATTTATTTTTTTACCTCTCCGCCTGCTGGATGTCCCTTCACGCTTTCTCTCTCTTTCTTCATTTTAACATTTACTCTGAGCAGCGAGCGCGTGCAATATGTTTGACCACTGCTTCAAGGTGACTCAGAACAGAAGGGAAACCACAGCGTTTACTCTGCATTCATAAAGCTCCAGGGTTTACTGAAGAACTGTCTGCTTGTCTTCTAACCATCTGCGCTTCCTGCTCTGATGCTTCTTCTTGGCTTCAGCTCTGAGGATTAGAAATTAAACCCTTTGGGCTTCTCTGCATTTGAAAAAAGCTTGATTTGAGTATAAATATACAGCAATGCAAATGCCATGGACGTGGATCGTGTTCATCTGTCTGAGTGGAATAGTTTCCTCAGAACAAAACTTGGACTCTTGGCATGACGTGGATGCATTAATGGAAGTCTCCGCTGAGATATCCGAACTAGAAATAGCACCGGTTCCTTCGCCAAGGATCGACGCAGGGGTGACAGTGTCGGGTGCACACACTGCTGGTAAGTTTTTAAAGTCTGCCCACTTTTGTCTGCACGCTCTTGGTTAATAAACACTTAATAACTGAGAATTTTAACCTATTTTGCGCACAGAGGATTAAAAATCGAACAGTGTATTCCTTCATGACTGCATTTTTGGTTTGATTTATGTTTTCTGTTACCCTGGTGAGGAAGAGAGTGAGGATGAGCATCTCCAAGCAAATGCTGAGAAAGTGATCAAGCAGGAAAAACATGGCTCTGGAAACCTGGAGGCGATCAGAAGAAGGAGAAGTGCCTGGGGGAAGAGGAAGCATGCAGCCACAGTGGAGTCCATCGCATATAGAATAGTATGATGAGACACACAATCATATTACACCATCTTTTAGGTCATGTCGCCGTCCTGTCTGGCAGCTTTTGCAATCAGATTTTATGATCTGAATTGTTGTGCCGAACACATTTTGCTTTTCCAAGATAAGCTCTAAAAATTCCCTAAAGGCTCCTCTTCTTCATGTGTTTCTTTTATCTGCCTATTTATTCATTTCTATTCGTGTTGTTTCAGTTATCAGAGTATATGTGTAGTACGACAATGTCTAAGCTGACAGGCGGGGGGGAAGGAAGGCAGTAGAAAATAGGAGTGAACATATATAACAAAAGGATAGAGCACAAACAGAAAAGCACGGTGTACTGGCAACTGGTGCACCTGTCAGAAACAAAACAAAAAGAAGAAACATGCAGCACCTGTAACACACAGTCCTTATGTGAGACTTGTCTCTGTTTCCAGTAATTAATTCCAGTAATGGTCTCCTGCTACTTTCTGTAGGCGGGTTTGGGGCGACCCGTTGGCGGCTGGAGAAAGCCTGGAAAAGGAGGGGAGGACAGCAACGCTCTTATGGCTGCACTCAGGGAACTCCACGCTGAGAAGAAAAGGCTGATGGATCTCAGGAAAGCACGAGAGGAGGAGGATGATGAGGAGGAGGACGATGACGATGAAGACGACGATGAAGACGACGATGAAGACGACGATGAAGACGACGACGATGATGATGAAGAGGAGGAAGAAGAAGAAGAAGAAGAAGAAGAAGAAGAGGTTATAGTTTGTAATATTAGTTATCTTTTTTAACTTGTCTTATTTACTTACTGATTTGCTGGGTAATTAAATGTTGTTCTTTTCTTCCAAGGAGGAAGAAGAAGAAGAGGAAGAGGAGGAGGAGGAAGAAGAAGAAGAAGCAGAGGAAGAAGAAGAAGAAGAAGAAGCAGAGGAAGAAGAAGAAGAAGAAGCAGAGGAAGAACCGACTGAGTCGCCCAGCAATCAAACAGAAACGGTTTCTAACTTTATAGAGTTGCCTGTTACATATTACATAATTTCCTTGGGCATTAATAAAGTTTTCTGATTCTATTAAGTGTCAGAGCACTGAGAGAGAGATCAGCTGCAGGGGCATCGGCATTACTCACCTGCCAAGCTTCCAAAACCTTGAAGCCACGAAGGTGGATTTAGCAGGTATGTGTATATCTACAGCTGTAGTCAAAGAAAGCACCCAACAGAAATTTCACAGATTAAAAAAAGAAAAAAGAGCAAACACAAGAGCTCAGGAAGCCCAGCCATCATTAGTGAGCCATCGATGCCCATATTTTTGTAAACAGTGTTATCCTGGATTTACCACTGGAATACATTACGACGTGGATTATTATGCTGCCAGCTAGTGAATCATCAAATTGAAAATTGAAGTGTCATGTGACTGACTTTATGTTCAGAGAACAACATCAGGATCATCACGGCACGAGCTTTCTCAGGCCTCCTGAACCTGGACATGCTGGACCTGAGTCGAAACATACTGGATGATGAATCGTTCAGCCAAAACCCACTTTCTGTGAGTAACACTGCTCTCGCTGCATCTTTTAAAATTACTCACAAGTGACATATTTTTATCCCTTTATTTATCTATTTATATAAAAAGTGAAAAAGTAAAGTAAAACCAGTAAAGGGTGGTGGTTACTCTGACTTAAATCTACTGCTCTTGTACTGAGGTTTGTGTCCCAGTGAGTAATATATAGTAATATGTGTGTAATACCAGTGTGAAAATCCACCACAAACCAAGGCTGTCCAACACCGTTTGACTGCAGAGTTTCTCCCACTCGTCTTACAACTGCAGTTGGAGACTTGCACTTCCAGTTCTGCCTGCACTCAATGAGTTTTCTAACTATATATTTTTAACTGCACTTTATGTCTGTTGGGTGTTTTCTAGAAAATATTTACTGTCATGAAATATCAAGTATTATTTATCCAGACTGGGAATGGAAAAAACAAACAAGTGTCACTGACAGTGACTGAACTCTGTTAGAAAAGTCAGTGTTGCTTCTCTCATTGTCTGCTGGCCAAAGAAAGAAGTGATAAAATAATTTACAGCAGACAACAACAACAACATTTAATATACCGCCAGACTGTAGTTTACCTTCGTAATGAGACAGAAAGTTTGTATTCACTGTCAGTTCGAGCCACAAATAATATTCTGGGAAGAACTATTTGGTGTGTTTAAACAGCACCAGCAGAGACAAACACACATATCAACAAAAAACCCAAAAAACTTTACGCCTCGAGGCCTGAAACTGAACCCTGTTTGACTTTCCTTTGACGTGGACGTGTTGAACTGCTCTGACATTATCCTTAGTAGCTCCGTCTTCACTCTTACAGAGAGTCCTCCGCCTGTCAGTACTTTTCTGACTTACAAGCACATTTTATGGGTCACTTTGCATCTAGTTAAAATAAAAAGCAGGCTATGTCCTGTATCATTACGGTAATAAAAGAGCACTGAAAATGCATTAACTAATCCGTCTAAGAATAACCTCTGACCACAGGCCACACCGAGGGAGCCTACCACACTCTGACCAATCATTACACACTGCCACTGCTATACTGTCACGGTATTGGCTGAAAGAACCTGCTGGAAAAAAGCTGCAGCCAATGATGTGGGGAATATGAGGAAATTATTTTTAGAGGAATATTCTTCTTCAGTTTCTGCTCACATCCCTGTAATGACAGGGGATTGATGGACTGGCCATGCTTTTATTCACCCATCAAAACCACAGCAGCTTTCACTGAAGAGCCACCCGGAGTGGCTTTGCTAAAAATATGAGAGGACAGATCACATGAATGGAAGAGATGCACAAATGTGACATTCTTTCATTTGGTGTGTTTCTGTGAGCTCTGTGATTAAATCCCAATTGGCAAGCAGGGATGGGAAATTACGGACTTGGAGACAAGTATCTATTTAGTGTATTTTATCATCCCAGTTTTGCTCAACACCTATTTATTTGTGCTGCATTTCATTTCATGCAGAACCTGACCTCTCTGAGGAAGCTGGATCTGGATGACAACCGCATCACCGTGATCCCGACGCTGCCTTCATCTCTGGAGGAGCTCAAAATCAAAAACAATAAGCTGAGTGGACTCACACCGCACTGCTTCAAAGGTACACATCGTGTGTGTGTGTGTGTGTGTGTGTGTGTGTGTGTGTGTGTGAACACAGTCATGTGTAAAAATTATAACAGGTGTAACATCATAGGTATTATTTCCTAATAGGTTTGATGAATCTCCTGAAGCTAGAGCTGGGAGGAAATGCTCTTCACAAAGCCAGTGTGTCCCCTCCAGCTTTTAGGCCGCTACAGAGACTTCTTGACCTCCAGCTGAGCAACAATCACTTCCGGTCGCTACCACTGAACCTTCCTCCCTCTCTTCAGGTGCACATGTACCACATTTTCGAGTCATTTTTTCCTCTTTCTCTCACTGCTTGGAGTTAGACACTCTCGGACACTGTTTGCATATTCACTGATTGTTTTCATTTTAAACTGTCACATTTCTGTCTCCTGTATCACACCTCAGCATCTGTCTCTGTCTTCCTCATTCTGTAGACGCTGCAAATGAATGAAAATCTAATTGAGGAGCTGACAGAGGAAGCGCTGAGGGGCTGCATTCATTTGAGAGTGCTCGAACTCAGGCACAACCGTCTGCATGAGCAAGACATCGCTACCCATGCATGGACGCGTCTTAAGTATGTCCATCCATCCATCCAACCCAATGTTATGTAGTTCCTTCATCAGCCACCAGAGGGCAGCCTGGTGTTGCTTAGGAATCTGAAGACGCAGCTGTCATTTGTTCAAGTTCAAAACACTTTTCACTTTATTCTTGTGGCCACTAAAAGATATGAAACAACAAATTTCCATTAAACGATGAGATTTTTTTAAACAGGCAGTAATTTAGTATCACAGTAAAGTAAATCATCGATGTTTAAAGCTGATGCCTTCTTTCAAAAATGACTGAATTAAAATGACAACACATTTGGAGTGTTGGACATCAGCTTCAGTACGTGTTTTCTCAGCAGACATTTAGACTGATTTACACAAAGCCAGACAGTTTTCTCATTTCTTCTTCTGCTTCTCTCTCAGCCTTCCTCACACAGACAAACACATGTATGCTCACATATCACACACATTTTGACAGCTGACCTTGTGTACTTGGATGAGCAGGCGTGTGAGCGAGGGCTTGAGGCAACTGTGTGCATCTGTATGTGTGTATTTGTGTTTGTGTGTGTGCTGTTTAAATATAGTGAATTCCAGTGGGTTTTTCTTTTTTTTTTTGCTCCTTAGGATCCTTGCGAACCAAAGTGGGAGCCTCAGGGAAAACTGAGGAAATAGAGAATGCAAAAGAGAGTTGCAGGAAAGTGAAGCTGTGGAGATTTTGTATATAGGGCACAAAGCAGAAGCATTAACTTGAGAAGATGCAATCTGGGAAAACTTTAGGAAGTGATGAACTCTTGTAATCTTCTAGATGCAAAGCAGACTCCAGGACAGGAAGATGGAGTTCACTGGAGGAAATTCGAACAGACTGTCCTGAGTCTTCATGAGACTTGTTTCTGATGCCTGACATGTTGACCTCATTAGTCGTGAGAGCATCAACTTCCCATCGAGTCTGCAGGCTTAGTAGCTGGGCCTTCATTTTAAGGCTTCTGCATAGACACCAGACAGTGAATAAACTCAGCTTGACCTAAACTCCGCTTATACAGCAGGAGACAATAAGTAAGGTCGCTAACAAGATCAGAACCCTCCCTTCCAGCTGATTGTCTACAGACCTTTAATAGCATATCATCATGTGGTCCTACTGAGGCACGTTAAGAAACAGAAAGTGCCTGAAAAAGCTGAGAAAACAAAGATCAAAAGTGAATTGCTTAATGTGAAAAGAACTGCAGTTGGCTGGGTCTAGTTCGCAGGGTGCTTCTGTTTCGTGTCACAGTGTTGCTTTGCTTCTAGCTCGGTGATCGAGGTATGAGTGGGGAGAACGAGGTAACAGGGAGCTGGGATCTTTCTCAGGCAGACTGGGCTCACTTACCTCATTATGTATTTAAATAACGTGTAATGAAAACAGAACATTTCCAGAGCCTGTGAAATGTCTCTGACTCATTTGGGATAACCCCCCCCCCCCATATGCATTACTTCCCCCTCATCAGTCTACACAATAATAGCAACGGTTAATCTTATTTTAAAAGAACTGAAATATCCAGTATACTAAAGTATTCAGACACATCCTTCTTTTAATGATCCTTCAGATTCTACAAGTACAATCTTTCATTGCATATTGGATTCACTGGACTTAATCTAAAAGCTCTGACACTTGATGTTGTATGTAAGAGTAAAAACCAGCGTGAGATGTTGAGAAAATTGCCTGTTAAGGACAAAGACGTGATTATGTCAATGCATAAGCTGAGGGAGAATACGGAAACATATCTGTAGCAGTCTCGGTGTCCAGGAGTAAACAGGGATTACTCAGTTTGGGGAGATTTGTAAGATTTAGAGATGGGTCAAGTTCTTAGAAGGACAATCATTAATGTAGGTATCCACACAAATGGCTGCACAGTTTGCCAAAAAGCGCCTGAATGGCTTGGATACCTGGTTTCCACTGATTCGTTCTTGGCTCAGTGCCTCTCTGGAGACAGCGCTGTAGTGCTTTCTGAGAACAAGCTTACATTTCAGCAGGTTTGAGATTTTCTTTCTTTTCTGTGGGAAACAAATGTGCTGGCTGCGTCAGCAGATCAGCTTTGAAGTTGCTGTGGTGGCCTCTCCTATACTGGTTTGGGCCCAGCAATTTTGTGATTCTGTCTCTCTGTCACTTTTTTTTCTTTGGTGGGAATGCTACCACGTCTGAATGGGTTCTGTCATTGCCACGGTGGAAGAGGTATTAGAGCATGACATGCAAAATCCTCTGAAACAAAGATTCATAATTCAGTTCATAGTTCCCGGGGTCGTGTGCATGATTGAAACCAGGCACTAAGAAGCGATTGACACCATCGCTACAGTCCAACGCAGTGGTGGCACGATCCTGTTGTGGGATTTCCTGGTACATGGACACTGATGGACGCACAAAACCATTTTAATAGAGCTCAGGTTCTCAAACTGGGCTAAGGATTACATTCAATAAGTCAGAAATCTAAAGCATCACTGAGAAGGCTGTTTTGGGAAAACTTGGTAAAAAACCAGAAGTGTACAAAAGTGGTGTTGTCCTCATAAACAAAAAGGATGTGTATCGGATCTACTTTGTGTGTTTCAGGATGAAAATCAAATGATTGCTCCAGTTAAAAGAACATGAATGCATTACTCGTTTTTCACGAGGTGATGTAGCTAGAGTTATGTAACCTTTAGCTAAGCGATGCATCGGAATACGTCTTCCAACTCCAACAACTGTGCCTTCCTTTGTTTATCCCTGTACGTGTTTGTTATGTAACGAAGCTGCGCTGGCATACAATTAATGCTGTTGCACAAGCAGTTAGATTTGACTCTTATCAGGCACAATGAGCAGCCTGTTCAAAAACACAGCTGCACAACTAAAACAGACACACACCTGACACCTGCCTGTGTCAGTGCCTGATCTCAAACCAGAGCATTTTCTCATTTGCGACACTACGCCCAAATGATCATATTTCATTGATAAAGTCTTTCCGGTTGCAGACTGTAGTTTATGCTGTCAAACATTTACAGAAAAATGACGGATTGTGTAATAATGGCTTTGTTTTATTGCGTGCTCTGCAGTTTGACTTAACACTCTTGTAAAAGGATCATCGACTTAAAAATACCCAGTAACAGCCACTCCAACTCCGTTAGATAATAACTGACAGAAGAGCCGAGTAATTTTTTAATTTGGTTTGTGCTGAAACAGATGGCTGTTACGGCACATCAAATGTTATTTTTCTCCATTATTTTTTTTATTATCATGAAATATCAAGTATTATTTATCCAGACTGGGAATGGAAAAAACACTCCTAAACTCAAAAAGCTGTGGCTGGAAAAGAGAAAGGCGTTCAGAAGCGGAGACAGGGACTGCTACAGAGAGGCCAAGTACAGGTTCACTAAAGAAGTGGACATTGCTAAACATCAGCACTCTGAGAAGATGCAGCAGCAGATCTCAGAGAATGACTCGGCCTCTGTGTGGAAAGGTTTTAGGAATATTACAAACTACAAGCCTAAAACCCCCCACTCCACTGATGACTCGCTCTTAGCCAACACCCTCAACGACTTCTACTGCCGTTTAGACGAGCCATCAGGCAGCCTTCACACCTCCAACGACCCCAACAATAGAGGCACTTTGGACACTAATTCCCCCACCTCTCCCCCCTCCACAGAGCCATCACCACCTTCAAACTGTTCACCTGCAACACCCCCCTCCTCACCCCACACAAAAGAGGATTTCACACCACCTCCTCCCACCACAACTCTTCATATTCATGAAGCAGATGTGAGGAAGCAGTTTAAGAGTCTGAATGCTCGGAAAGCTCCCGGCCCAGACGGTGTGTCTCCTGCCACCCTCAGACACTGTGCAAACGAGCTGGCCCCAGTGTTTTCTGACATCTTCAACTCCTCACTGCAGGCATGTCATGTGCCTGCCTGCTTCAAGTCCTCCACCATAATCCCTGTCCCCAAGAAACCTAGGATCACTGGACTAAATGACTACAGACCCGTGGCTCTGACATCTGTGGTCATGAAGTCATTTGAGCGCCTAGTTCTCTCCTATCTCAAGACCCTCACGGCCCCCCTCCTGGACCCCCTGCAGTTTGCATACAGAGCCAACAGGTCTGTAGACGACGCCATCAACATGGCCCTACACTTCATCCTGCAGCATCTGGAGTCCCCAGGAACCTACGCCAGGATCCTGTTTGTGGACTTCAGCTCTGCCTTCAACACCATCCTTCCAGACCATCTCCGAGACAAGCTTTCCCAGATGAATGTGCCTGATCCCATCTGCCGGTGGATCACTGACTTCCTGACGGACAGGAAGCAGCATGTGAGGCTGGGAAAGAATGTCTCGGACTCCCGGACCATCAGCACCGGCTCCCCTCAGGGCTGTGTTCTTTCTCCTCTGTTCTTCTCCCTGTACACCAACTGCTGCACCTCCACCCACCAGTCTGTCAAGCTAATCAAGTTCGCAGATGACACCACCGTCATTGGACTCATCTCTGACGGGGACGAGTCTGCCTACAGGAGGGAGGTTGAACGTCTGGTGTCTTGGTGCAGCCACAACAACCTGGTGCTGAATGCCCAGAAGACAGTGGAGATTATTGTGGACTTCAGGAAGCACACAGCCCCACTCCCCCCCATCATCCTGACTGACACCCCCATCACCTCTGTGGACTCATTCCGCTTCCTGGGTACCACCATCACCCAGGACCTGAAGTGGGAGCCCACCATCACCTCCGTCATCAAGAAAGCCCAGCAGAGGATGTACTTCCTGAGGCAGCTGAAGAAATTCAACCTGCCAACACGGACGATGATGCAGTTCTACACTGCAATCATCGAGTCCATCCTCACCTCCTCCATCACCGTGTGGTACGCTGGAGCCACTATCAGGGACAAACAGAGACTGCAGCGTGTTGTGCGCTCTGCTGAGAAGGTGATTGGCTGCAGACTCCCATCTTTGCAGGACCTGTACACCTCCAGGACACTGCGGCGTGCAGCTCGGATCTCAGCTGACCCTTCTCACCCTGGACACAGTCTGTTTGACCTGCTCCCCTCAGGCAGGAGGCTCCGGTCCATTCGCACCAGAACCTCTCGCCATAAGAACAGTTTCTTCCCCTCTGCTGTTGGACACATGAACAATAACCACATGACTGTCCCCGCCACCAACACATGACCCTACGCTGTGTCACTGCATCATTCCATGTTTGGCACTGATCACCACCTGCACTCATGTATATATCTTTCTACGTAGCACTCATAATTCTTATTCTCATGTATATATCTCATGTATATCGCATGCACATATCTTTCTTTCTACATAGCACTTTAATTCTTATTGTCTGCACTGAAGCACCGCAGCAATTTCCTAATGTTGTAAACCTCAACATCTGGCAATAAACCCATTCTGATTCTGATTCTGATTCTGATTCTGATTCTGATTCTGATTCTGATTCCTCAGGGGTGTGTTCTGAGCCCTCTGCTATACACTCTCTTCACCCATGACTGTATTTCCTCCTGCGCGTCCAATCTCATTGTTAAGTTTGCAGATGACACTACAGTGCTCGGACTTATATCCAACAACGATGAGACAAACTACAGGACAGAGGTGCAACAACTAGAGTCATGGTGCCACGACAATAACTTGGTCTTAAACACCAAAAAGACCAAGGAGATCATTGTAGATTTCCGGAAGAGGGGCCATAACAACCATCTGCCTCTCTTCATTGGCAGTGAGGTGGTGGAGAGGGTGAGCAGTTTTAAATTCTTGGGGGTAACTGTGACCGAGGACCTGTCCTGGGGCAACCATATCACCTCAGTTGTACGGAAGGCCCAACAGCGCCTCTACTACCTGAGGAGACTGCGGAGCGCACACATTCCCAGATCTCTGATGCTGAACTTCTACAACTGTGCCATCAGCAGCGTTCTGACGTATGGATTTCTAGTGTGGTTCCCCAGCTGCACCAAGGCCGATCAGCAAGCACTCCAGCGGGTGGTGAAAGAAGCTGGCAGAATTATTGGAACAAGTCTGCCAGAGATCAGTAATATCTTCCCCACTCGCTGTCTGAGGAGGGTGCACAGTATCCTGCGGGACCAACATCACCCTGCGCGCCACCTTTTCCATCTGCTGCCCTCAGGGAGAAGGTACAGGTCTATACAGGCCAGAACATCCAGACTGGCCAACAGCCTGTATCCACAGGCTGTGAGGCTCCTGAACTCTCTGCCCCCCTCTCACGGACAATAACCATATCCAACTTCTTAATAGCAATGAACTGGTCTGCATTGGTGCATCATATCTTTATTCTCTCCCCCCTCCTGCCCCCCCCCCCCCCCCTCTTTCTTAAATAGATAACTATCATATCTGATATCATATCTCACAGTACAATAATATTGAATGGGTTGCATTGTTGTATTTTGTCATGTTTCTCAGGTCTTTGTCTGAATTTCTACGAACATTATTGCTAAGGATTGTCTTATTGCATTGGAGTCACACTGGGTTAAATATGTACACTTGGGTTTTAAGGGGTATTTATTATTTTCTTCTTTTTTTTGGGTTGTATGGAAGCCCCAAACGCAATTTCATTGTTCTTGACAATGACAATAAATAAATAAATACTAAAATACTAGATTTATAGAACGCAAAAAAGTCCAGTTATTTGTTTGAGTAATGCGGTAAATGATTTCAAATATGCTTCTGTGTGCTTTCAGTGGCAGCTGGCAGAGGCTCCAGCCCCTCAGGACCCCAGTTGGAATTAAAAAAAAATGATTGGAGGGACTGTTTTCAACAGATCTCACAAATACTTCCAGATATCAGCCAGTGTTAATACATCCAGTGCGCACAAAAGTGCACACGCAGCTTTAATAAGTCCAGAACGTGCCGTCATCCATCGATCGGTGCAGTTTCAAGTCCAGCTGCAGGCGTTCAAGTCTGCTTGGCATAATCACAGAGCCTGGCTTGAATACTTCGACTATTCTGTGTAATCCCGACGCTGTGGTTTCACCGTAAATGGAGCCGTGTGTATCTGTAAGTGCAGTACCCGTTGTAAGCAGACCATCACCCTGAGCAGCTGCAGGACTGGACTACGCTTTGCACAAAACCGAGACAGACTTGATTTTTTTTAATGAAAAAAGAAAAGCAAAAACATTTGCTTTGGTGTGAATTGTGTGTGTGTGTTGCCTGGAGTAGCTTGTGTGTTGTGTGCTTGTGCATGACTATTTGATCATAGTATGTGCATCTTTTTCTTTTTTGGGTGGGTGAATAGCAATTTCAAATCCATGCATTTGCATCCTCGCTGCACCTCCTTGACGCCCATCTGTGTCTGCCAGCATATTTATTTTCTGTGGATGCGCATAGTTCATGTCATGTTGTGCGTATGAGAGTGTTGTTGTGTTTTTGTGTAGGTGCCAAGCCAACGGGTGGAGGTCTCTGAGAAGAGAGGACTGTGTGTCTCTCCACTCATTAATACCATGTGGTATTTAAACACTGGTGGACTGCTGCTGAGCTTACTGGCAAAGTCTTTGAATACAAATCAGCTGCACACAACTGGTCTAAACTGGTACACAGAAACAAGCATAGTGATGTGTTTTATGGTTTCAAGTGGGAACAGAAATCACTCTTTTTTTATTTATTTAATTTAATAGAAATTCACAGAAAATCGTGCATTTAGCGCCTGCTGGTTTCTTTGTGTGCTCTGTGCTGCTGTGCTTCCCCAGGTTTCTGAAAGTTGTTCTCAGAGATGATGGAGGTGGAGGACGTTCTAATGCAGATTAGATACACAGGCTGTACATGAAAGATTGATGTCACTCATTGGTTTCAAATTGCATTTTGAAGCCTCGACCCTACTGCTGGGCCAGCTGTGTCCCTGAAGTGCACTGGTGCACAGACTACGTTTGTTATTCACCATGTTGGAGAGTCCGTGTCACACATCAGGCTTTATTGTTTGTCAGGTCATTTCATTAAGGATGACAGGCAGCAGGAGATCAAAGACAACAGAGAGGTCAACAGTGAGCTGTGTTGGCACACGTGCCAATCAAAGACACCAGTAAGAGTAATGTGTTATATAATACTGGTGAGGTCTGATTCACTTTTGGAGCCAGCCTTAGGTGGTCCGGACAGGAACTGCAGGTTTTGGCACTTCCACATCCATTTTGCAACCATCTCCACAGATCCCGTGTTTTTCTTTCAGTTGCACCACTGTAGTGTGACCCAGAAATACGTCTGGGCAAATATAAACTATGCTCCTTTTAAAAAAAATCAAAAAAACATCTTTTTGTGTTGCAAACTAATGATGTGAACAGGGACTGGATATATACCATAAAAAGTTTTTATTGCCAGTAAATAAAAGTAACTCTTGGAAAAGACAAACTAACAAATAATGATTAGATCTGCTTTTATGTTATTGTTACCCTTCGAGTACCCTTACATGTGCTGATGCAGTATTTCATCATATGAAATACTGAAAGAGTTTATTTTGGTTCTTCTGTTACTGAATATTTACAGTCGCACCTTAATAGCCGAACCTGTTAGTGGGTCATAGTGTTTATTGTGTGCATTTTATTCTAGAGCATTTCACCGTACGCACAAAATGTGAATATTTTGCACAGCCCGGACAAATCTATGGAAACATGTCTTGGTAATAATCTTGAATTCTGTGCACAGTCTTGAGCAAACCCTGGTTTCTTTATATTTAATAGGAAAAGAGGAAATATGTGCTGTGGTTTATTGAAACAGGTGTAATGTTCAAAAGAAGGAGAGTTGCTGTAAGCTTTCTATTGTAAGCTGATAGTAACAGAAACTGTGAAGCAGACAGCATCAGTCAGACATACGTTGGCCCACATGTGTTCAGCATCCACAAGCCTTCACTGATTGGGCCCCAGTTCCCATCACTCTGTAGTCATTAACTGGCCACCTGAATGTTTTCTGAGCCCTTTTGTTCAGTGATGTCAGTGAATGGAGGAAGAACCGAAAATGAGGTTTTGTCTCCTGCTGTGAGCTGTGCTGTAAACTCAAAACAGCTGTGTAAGACCTTCTAATAAACACTGAATCACAGTGCTGCAGTGCACCCTGAGGACTGCTTTGATAAGTCAGAATTATTATTATTGTCTTTGTCTCAGACCTCAGAAATCTGGTCCCAGCTCTGTGGCTATTCTTTAGGTTTCCCATAAGCCAAACATTTTCTCTATCAGCAATTCTGCCTCAAATTCTCCCCCAAACAGCCATCGTACCCCTCAGGCCCCACTGTTTTATTGGCTGGTGCACCCTGCTATTCCACCACACAGGCCCGCCTCCCTTTCTCCCCAACAGCGCGATGCAGGAGGCCAGAAATGATAAAACATGAGATGAAAGCTGAGATGAAAGGTTTATGAGTCAGTGTGGATGTGGGTCTATTGACATGCTTAATCAGGAAACCTGCAAAACCTAAAACACTTCATCATCACATGCTTCTGCTGAGCAGCTAACCTCAGCATTATCACTAGTAGAAAGGTTGGGAGATCACTGAGATCTTCAGCATGATGCCATAAGTGCTGTGATATCACTGGAAATATGGATCTCCAGGTTGTCTCTGAGCAATTTCAGACTGATTGGACGTTTCTTTGCAAATATGACTGAGATTATTCTATGCACTGTATTTCTTCAGGTCCTTGGAAGCCTTGGATCTATCTCACAACCTGTTCACTTCCGTTCCTCTAAACCTGCCGCGCCCTCTTCGTAATCTGACCCTCCAGCACAACAGCATCAGTCACATCCCAGCCTTCACGTTCCGTCACCTGCGGCCCGGCCTGCGGTCCCTGTGTCTGTCCCACAATGACCTGAGCAACGACGCTATAGAACAGTTCTCTTTTGTTGGATCTTACCGCTCGCTGAGCGAGCTCCTATTGGACCACAATCGCCTCGGAGAAGTTCCTCGCTGCATCCGGCAGTTTAAAAACCTGCAGGTGCTGAGACTGAGCAACAACCAGATCAGGTAGAACTGGATTTTCCATGAAGTCAAATGTGATTTCTATAATGCTGGGATGAGCTTACTGCTTGCTTGTTACCCAATCCTGTCTTAACACCATTAGCTCTGCTGGTTCCATTGAAATGATTCTAAGGAGCTTAACAAAGAACACATTCAATTTCTTATGTAAATGTGTTTCTTATCTTTACATTATATACGGCTTTTAGACTTTAATTTTAAAATAATAAACATTTGAATGTTTGGTTTCTGCGTTATTTCATAGTGAAAATTGTCTGCCTAAATTTCAGTGTGCATATGTTTCAATTATAGGCTGGTGAGGCAGTGGAGCGTGTGCCACCCTCGCAATTCGGGCTCCTTGGCTTCAGTCCACCTCGAAAACAATCTGCTGGAAGTCGAGAAGATTCCCCCAAACGCTTTCTCCTGTCTCACTGACCCTCAGGGCCTTGTTCTACATCCACAGCAGTGGTCTGACTGATAGGACAGACATACGGGAACATTTCTTCTCCCACGTTTGCATCACCCTGTAATGATGCAGTGTTTGCAGAAAAAACATTTTCACCATGTATGTTGCTTAGTAAGCTGCAGCTTTCATTATATCATCTCTAAAGCCATTTTCCTCTCACATCTTTGATCATTTCAGTATGTAATAAAGCAAATATGTTCTTGACATTGTGCTTAAAATAACTAATGTTGTAAAAGTTGCTTTTTATATTGTAACAGATGCATTGCAATCAGAATGCACATAAAGCACAAGTTTTGTCTTTTCATTAAGGGATTTGATACTTTGGGAAACTAAAGCAAAGAAAAGGATTAACCTGTGTCTCTAGCCTGAGGTACTTACAGTAGTCTGAGCTCAACTATTTAATTAGTGGAAGAGGAACTAAAGCAGGATGTTTGGAAGGGCAGAGATGGCGTTTGACTGCTTCATGATCAAACTTTAGCTCCCTGAGAGAAAGTGAGATCTCTGGCAACACAGTGTGAACCTCAGGGGGCCATTAAGAAGAAAAATATAAACATCATACTAGTTTCCTACAACTAGAAACCCTCCAAAATAAACATCCACTAGCCACTCCAGAAATGCTCAGGGTCACTCTGACTGTGAAAGCGGGGCCTCGTTTGGGGTCTCCAAACATGTAGATGATGACGTCAGTCACGGTGTTTCAATAGTTGGAGTGCAAACATGTATGTGTGTGCGTGAGAAGAATGAGGCAGCAGCAGGAGATGAGGAAAAGCTGAGGAACATGTTAAAGCTGAGTGGAGCTCGGGTATAAACGACAGGCTGGCTTTTAAGATACAATACATCCATTGTACTTAGGAAGCCTCTAAGGTGATCAGTGAAACATGAGAATATTCATGGCAGTGAGTTCAATAAGACTCGGCTACAAGGGAGAGAAGAAAGGAGGTTTACAACACGGGGAGAAGATACAGAAGCCGGGATCAGATCGTGTTCAGAGTGCTTTTCCCATCTGGAGCTCTGTTGTTTACTGACAAACTCTGTGTTTCTGTCCCACTCTTAACATCACTTGCTCGTGCCACCTTTTGCGCAGAATAATGCAATCCTGTAAGCGTGACATGCAAAAGCACTCCTAAAGAGAACAAAGCAGAGGAAAAGCAGCCACTCTGAGTGTTTTCATTCATCTAATCCCACGTTAATATCTCCATCGTCAAAGCGTAACGTGACATTTCAGGGCGTTTTAAAAGAACGCATGCAAGTGCGAGCAATCAAATGCTGCAGCAGTCTCTTTAATTAGTTAATCCACTCATACTCAGACAAAACACATTTCACAGTATATCACTCAGAGTAATGTGTATAATTAAAACGATAAAACATTGAGTTGTGTTTAGCGCACGAAGTCGTAATTTACGCAGAGTGCGCTTGCTGTGTTGACAAGCTGGCTTAAGGTATAAGGTTTCACCAGAGTGCGGTGTTCCTGCAGCTCTAAATGAAGAACAGAAGGCCCCCTGCAGACGCTACAAACACACTCGAGGGAGGGAGGCGGGGAGCGATCGACACTTAACAGCACAGCGAGTGTATTTGTGTTATTAACGATGGAGCTGATGACAAAGCGAAGCAGGTTATAAAATCCGGTAGACGTACCCTCTGAATATGAGACAGACCCACATATCCTTCTCTATCCTTTCTCCCTGGGCGTGTGAGCACATGCTGGATTTGTGCTCTCAGCCCTGTGCATGTGGTGCAGCCTCCAACCTCCATAATTGTACAGTCATTTTGTAAACAGCATATTACTGTCTAAGAAACTGCACATTCACATTTATAGTGCAGTTCCTGTACTTACAGGCTAAGCCGAAGCTTTGCACAAAAATGAGCGAGCTGTGTCTCTTCCTCTTTTTAACCTTTCCATCTTTGCACAGATGGATTCATCAGTTTTGAATTGAAATCCTTAAACATGCCTCCACAGCCTGTCAGATGGAGTCTTTAGCAAATGTCACGGGCTCACCACTTCACTTCCATGCATGACGCCACATGTGACGTGACTAAACTGTTAAATCGACGCGCTGTCATAGCCAGCAGCTGTCTGCATCCCGTCGAGCTCAGTCTGACCGGCCCTAGAGGGGGGTCGAGCTTTTTGTCTCCCATGTAGCTCTCCATCCTACCCTGAGACGACAGCTTCCTGTGTTTGTTTTTTGATTGGGCGTTGGCGGATGAAGTGCTGGTTGATAAAATAAAAAGGCCCAACACTTACAGAGAAAAACTGCTAAAAGATTCTCTTCCTGACTCGGACTGTGACAACAGAGAAACAGATAACGCGAGGCAAGAAGAGAGAGTATGGATGCAGGGTCTAAAAGTGAGGACACTGTTTTTGCTAGAACTTGAAACTGTGCATTCTCTGCAGGTATAAGCATCACTGAGTAGGAAATTGTTTTTCATTTAGTTAAATCACAGTGTAAAAGAACTAAACAACATATGAGTAAATATCATCCAATGGTGCATAGCCTCGATCATGGCAGTAGCTGTCTAAGAGCTAGTGGGTGTGTTAATCTCTGGAGACACGTTAGATGAACACTTGTATAGAGCAGAAAAAGTTTAATTTAGATGCCAAGCCCTGTAGCTACAGCCCAACACCATAATCAACCGAACCACAGCGAGAGAGACACACAGGCACACAGAAAATTAAAATGCGTGAAGCAGAGGGAAAGAGCACATTTACAAACGGGAGAAAGAGAGGAAGCAGGGAAAGAAGGAATGTCATCTGCAAAGTCCTTTATCAAAACACTGTCCCCTGCCAAAAGCCCCTGCAGGGCACTGATCCGGCCCGCATGCCTTTCCACCACTGTGGATACGACACTGTTAGTGACAAGAGTAGATAACTAAACGTCAGACAGGCAGTGTCAGCTTCTTCTTGAGTTTATATGATGGCAAAAGTGATTTTGTGCTGACAGGCCTGGAGCAGCAGAGCTCATGGATTAATGTCTGTGTGGCAGTCCTTGTGTAATGTCATAAGAGTTCCAAGATCGTGTGGCTCGCCAAACTCACTGCTCCCTGGGTCCGGGTGCTGGCAAATCGGTTAGAAACAACACTTCATCCTGCCAAAATGAAACTTAATAGAAAACTGTGAAAAAGGCCCAAAAGCATATGTTTTATAATCCCAGAACTAAAATATAAACTTTGTCCACTATTGTGGTGCGACTAGCTGCTATCACTAATCAGACGGAAATGGGCCACTGGATGTTTCACAATAAAAGACGGGTTTATTTCACCAGCTGCTGACTGCCAGTGCTTAAAGAATTACATGGAAAGCATCTGCAAGCATAAAGCACAGCTGTAGCTGCTGTACTCCCAGAGAAGGATTAAATGTCCTGGGAGTTTCCCCCTTCTTTAGCAGATATTTATGTAATCTGAAAAAGCATAGGATATACAGTACACAAACGTTTCTATTGTCAGTAAATAAGTATTGTCTTAAAAATCAACTATGATTTATCTTATTGTTACCTTCCAGTGTCCCTTAAAAATGGTGCTATCTCACTGTTTGGGCCACTCAGAGGGCCGGCTTCTTCTCCTGTGGTGCTACAGTATATTTACAGTTGCACTATAATGAAAATGTGTGAGTCTGTGTGTGAGTCTGTTAGAGAGCGACGTGCAAATTTTCTTCCACAGCAATTCAAAAGTGGAATTTCCTGACCTGTTTTGTCATGACAAGCCTCTAGAATAACATCATTGGCACTGTCCATCAACTCATTTTATTCTTATCCAGTTCAGGGCTGCAGGAGCGCTGGAGCCTATCACAGCTACCACAGGGTGAGAGCCGGGGATCACTCCAGTCTGTGGGCTAACACTGAGGAGCACATAAACACACCTACAGCCTATTTAGAGTCACAGTTTTAGCCCAACCCCACTAACTGCATGTTTTTGGGGTGTGGGAGGAACCAGAGTACCTGAACAGGACATGAAATCTCCACACAGAAAGTCCCAGCCACATGATGGATTTGAACTCTGGACCTTCTTGCTGTGAAGCAACACTGTTCCACCATCCTGCCCTAATAGCCATCTTGAAAACTGTATACATATAACGCTGTGCAAAGTCTTGAGCAGCCATTTATATCGTGCTAGGTAAATGTGGAGATAGATGCGCAGACATCTTGAAACAGGAGGAAATGTGAATGGACAAAACAGCATATAAGGCAAAAGCAGAGTTTGTACAGTTCTAACAAGATTATCTTTGGCACGACCGCCTTTATTCTTGACACAACCCTTGTTGTGATTTGGTGCTTCTTTGGATGTTTGCTCCGTTTTGCTTCATTGTAGGTCTAGATGACTCCACGCTGCTTCAGTAAGGTGCGGGCTCGGGGATGTCAGTCCATGGCTGATAGTGTTGCTGTGTGAGAGCTTCTGTCCAGGTATGGTTTTACTGTGCTGGCACAGTGTTAGCATCACTATCGTGCTGAAAAAGGAAGCTGTTGGTAGTCAGAGAAAGCGCTTCCATTTTGGATCCAATCTACTTTTCTGCTTTCATAATTTCATCAATTTTGACAAGATCCCAACACTGCTGGCTGAAATCCAGCCTGTGACATACTATGTTTTATAGACATTCACTTTTGTATCTCTTTCAGAATCAGAATCAGAATCAGAATGGGTTTATTGCCAGATGTTGAGGTTTACAACATTAGGAAATTGCTGCGGTGCTTCAGTGCAGACAATAAGAATTAAAGTGCTATGTAGAAAGAAAGATATGTGCATGAGATATACATGAGATATATACATGAGAATAAGAATTAAGAGTGCTACGTAGAAAGATATATACATGAGTGCAGGTGGTGATCAGTGCCAAACATGAAATGATGCAGTGAACACAGCGTAGGGTCATGTGTTAGTGGCGGGGACAGTCATGTGGTTATTGTTCATGTGTCCAACAGCAGAGGGGAAGAAACTGTTCTTGTGGCGAGAGGTTCTGGTGCGAATGGACCGGAGCCTCCTGCCTGAGGGGAGCAGGTCAAACAGACTGTGTCCAGGGTGAGAAGGGTCAGCTGAGATCTGAGCTGCACGCCCCAGTGTCCTGGAGGTGTACAGGTCCTGCAGAGATGGGAGTCTGCAGCCAATCACCTTCTCAGCAGAGCGCACAACACGCTGCAGTCTCTGTTTGTCCCTGATAGTGGCTCCAGCGTACCACACGGTGA